TGTACCAGGGATAAAATCCCTATAAGGAACCCCTGAACGATAATGTGAAGCCAAAGATACAATGGAGACTCCAGACAGTTGGAAATTACAGGAATGTGGAATGAGGCCAAAAAGCTGCAGGAAGCAAGCAACACACACACACACACACACACACACACACACACACACACAGAGCCAGAGAATGCACAGGTAAAAATAATCACAACCCAAAAAATATAAATAGATAAATAAATATTGTAGTGGTTTGAATGAGAATGACTCTCATTGGCTCATATATTTGAATATTTGGTCCCCAGATGGTGGAACTGTTTGAGAAGGATTAAAAGGTGTGGCCTTGTTGGAGAATGTGTGTCACTGTAGGGGATGGGCTTTGAGTTTAAAACGCTCTCTGCCTCGTGGTTATCATCTCAGGATGTGAGCTCTCAAGTACTGCTCCATTGCAATGCCTGCCTGCCTGCTGCCATGCTTCCTGCCACAATGGTCCTGGACTCTGTCCCCCTGAAACTGTAAGCTCCCATAAATTCTTCCTTATATAAGTGACTTTGATGATGGTGTTTTGTCACAGCAATAGAAAAGCAACTAAGACAGATATGAATTCAGACAGAAAAAAGTAGAAACTTAGTTATTTGTGAGACAATATAAGAGTATAAAATATTGAATTGGATTTCAGGAAGTGGGCAGAAAATATTTAAAGAAATTATAATCCAAATTATTTTGTGTTAGATGATACTGATAAAACTACATAAACAAGAAATTTAGCAAGCATAAAGCAAAACATTAAAGAATATTACTTTTAAGGAACATTATAATCACATTTTTGAAAAGCCAGGTTAAAGGAAAATCTTATAAATGTCTACGTTATGCTATCAGGTGAGGTGAGGAAACAAACCTAGGAGTGACCTGTCACTTCTCGTGAGAAGAAGGACAGGCCAGAAACATAGGGAGCAACATTTCTAAACTATGGAAAGGAGAATCAAGTTTCTCAGTGCAGAAGTTCTTTTTTTTTTTTTTTGGAACCAGAAATTTTATTTAATCCACCTTCCTTTATTAGCATTCTAAACACTATAATCCAAATTAATCTCTTTGTGACCCAGGCTTGTGATAGGCACCATCAGTAACCAAACAGTGACAGACCTTAGCGTATTTGCTTTTTCCAGCCCCTTTTAACCTCTAGCTGTCACCTGTCCCTTCTGGTTAATTATCTCTTAATTCTAACCCCTGTGAAATGGGGACCAAAAGTACCAACCTCAGTATTCTGAGATTTAAAGAGACGGCCCAATGGTAAATAAGTCAAGCTCTGAGGAACCTTCCAGCTCCAGTGGTTCCCAATCTCTGGTAGAGCTCCTTCTCCGGTCCTGGGCTGAGAAACCAACCACACAGCTCTAAAGACCAAGTGAGACCCTGGATGGTAAAGTGCGTGGGCTCGTGACCACCACTAGCCACATCCACCCTCAGGGCTTCCAAGGCTCATGTCCCCTGCAGATGGCTCCTGACTGGAGACTCTCAGTTCCCCTTACCACACCTGGAACCATATGAAGGACACAAAAGAGGCCAAAGACAGAGTAACCAGCCCCAGTGGACAAACATTGATGAAGCAACTGCGAAGTTGGTGACATGTGTTCTTGGGAAAGAGATAGGGCCTGGAACAAGGATGGCAGCTGGAAGGTGAAGGGCAGTCCTGGCTCTCAGTAACAGTAGTGATCAGGCTTGAAGGGGCCATCAGTGGGCATGCCCAGATACTGGGCCTGCTTCTCAGTCAGCTTGGTCAGCTTCACATTCAGCTTGCCCAAGTGGGCTTCGGCCACTGCCTCATCCAGCTTCTTAGGCAAGAAGTGAACCCCAATGGGGTATTTATCTGGGTGGGTCCACAGCTCAATCTGTGCCATCACCTGGTTTGTGAAGGAGCTGCTCATCACGAAGCTGGGATGGCCCATGGCACACCCCAGGTTGATCAGTCGGCCTTCAGCCAGCAGGATGATTCGGCGCCCATTCTTCAGCCAATAGTGGTCCACCTGGGGCTTGATGTTCACCTTCTCCACAGCATTCTCATTGAGCCACTTCACATCGATCTCCACATCAAAGTGTCCAATGTTAGACACAATGGCATCATCCTTCATCTGCTCAAAGTGCCGGCCAAGGATGATGTCAACACAGCCTGTGGTGGTGACAAAGATGTTGCCCTCCTTACAGGCCTCGTCCATGGTGGTCACCTCATAGCCCTCCATGGCAGCTTGCAGTGCATTGATGGGGTCAATCTCGGTGATGATGACTCGGGCCCCAAAACCCCTCAGGGCCTGGGCACAGCCCTTGCCCACGTCACCATAGCCTGCTACCACTGCCACCTTGCCCGCAATCATCACATCTGTGGCCCGTTTGATGC